CGATGTGCGGAGTGTCGAACTTCAAAAATTGCTCGCGCGAGAGCCAATCAAGTGGCGCCACCCGCATATCAGGTACGTGCGGGGGACTTTCAAGCAGCGGGACTGGAAGATTCCAGTCTTGGTCGTCGTCGTCGGTGAAATCGTGGCGCGGGCTGAACGGGTTGTTGTTGGTGAATGCGCCAATGGGGTGCGGTGCCGGCTCAGGTGAAGGCGAGCGGACACGGCGACGACGCGATTCGCCTGTCATGGCCATGTTGCTCATGACATTGCGGGCTGGGGCAGTCGGTGACGGCTGCTGCTGCTGATGCTGAACCGCTGGGTTCAGGTTGCGCGCGGGAGGGGGTTGATACCCCTGGGCAGGACGCACGTCGCCTCGTGCGTCTTGACGGCCGGACCAGGTGCTCGGATTGGTCTGGCGAGGGCGGGATCGGTTCTTGCATCGATCCGCCAGATGCCCGAAATTTCTGCAGATTTTGCAGTAGAGGCGCCGTGGCTTTCGCTCTTCAGTGTTGTCGGCGTAGAAGGCGAGCCTTTCGCGTTCTCGTCGCGGCGCAGGTCGCTGCTGATCCATATCCCTCTGTTCGACGAGAAGGGCGGCGCAAAGGGCGGCCTCCGAGATGACCCCCTGCTGTCGGAGAAGCGCCTTGCAGGGCCGCCATTCTGGGCCGAGCCCTTGAAGCACGATGTTGACGAAGATTTCTTCTGAAATCGTGCTTCCCAACTTCACGATTTGATCGCGAAGGCTCCGGCAACGATTAAGGTAAGTGTTGACCTTCTCCCCTGCGGTCATCTTGGTTTCCAGGAGTTCCTGGAGTAGTCGGCTCGAAGAGACAGAGTCCTTGGGCTGGTAGACTCCTGTCAGGTGCCGCCAGGCGTTAAGGGCTGGAGCAGCTGTGGTTTTATATGACCGAATGTTGAGCTGCTCCGTCGCCGACATGTTCCGCAGGAGCACCCCGTACGCCATCAGCGACTCGTTGTAATACCGTGCCTTGGCGTCGTCGGTGTCCTCAGCAGGCTCCGCGTAGCTCCCGTCGAAATAGTGGAAGATCTGGGCGTTCTGAAGCAGGAGCTCCAGCTCGAAGCTCCAGGTGTAAAAGTCTCTGCCGTCAAAACAGGTACTTGTCTTTATTTTTGATATGCTGAGAAACCTTGATTGAGCGGAGAGAATTGCCTCTTCGCTGGGACGGGGAGTCTTGGGGGTTGAGCCATTGGTGTCGAGGGAGAAAGTTTGCGGGGTGGCGTTCTGGCCAGTCGGGGCCGGTTGAGAGGGTTGTGAGGATGTTCCCGCGTCGCCATTCCGCAATGTTTGGAGCCCTTGCTCCAAGCTGGTGAGTCGCTGAAGAAGTTGTGCGAAAATTTCGGAGTTGATTGTCGTCGTGTTCTCGCTTGTCGCAGCCGGGTTGGGTTGCGCTTCAGCCGTCAGATTAGTCTGACCACCAGATCCTCCGGCCATCTTCACTCGTGAGCGTGTGCCGGACGCCACTTTCTGAATGTCGCAATTTTCGGGAGTGGCAGTGCGAAGGATTCCTGAGCCGCTCTTATATCATGCTGCGATCAGAAATTGATCGTGGCCTAGGATCTACTCAGGAAGGTTCGCACGCAGTGAGATAGTTTGGTGGGCCCTTGACCTCAATAGCAGAGTGAATGTAAATGCTTGAGATGATGAGAACATGCAAACAAGGTGATATAAATAAGAGTACAATGGAATACGAAAAGACCTAACTAGCCATGTACTCTAAGGGGTACATTCCCTTATTCAAATTCACTCCCAACCGTGCGGCGCGTACAGTTTCGTAACTGTTCCCGCCAAAACCATCCTGCCTGCAGCTGCCCGATGCCGTCTGCTTCCGACGGTCCAGATGCGTCCCAACTGTCTGACGCTTCGAGTCAATTCCAACCGTCTGACGCTTCGCGTTCATTCTCGTTACTGCGTGCTTCTCTTTGCTGCGGTGAGGAGTGCACAGTAATACAATTATGTCAAACAATATGTTTAATATATACCCTGCGTGCTGTAGGTACTGTAGTTATTATTATTAAGAGTTGGTGGTGCACCTTCTATGTTACTTTGCTATATGTACCTTGTGTGCTATAGTGAAACACCTCTTTCCTTGCCTAAACTCTCTCGTCACTTTCTCCTCTTCACCCTAGCATGGCTCCTCACCTCTAGCTACTATCTTGACATGGTACAGAGCTGGTTCTTTCCCGGAACCTTCTCTTTTTTTTTAAAGAATTATGGGCCCGCCCGTACTACAGCGCGAAATGCGCTATTTTTTTTCTCCCCGTTCGCCCGTCACGCGCGCCCTGCCCGTCCCCCCGAACGTGCCACGTCGGCTGCCTCGCGGACGCCCCGTCGGCTGCCCCGCGGACGCCCTGCCCGTCGCCCGCTGCCCCCCAGTTCCCGTCGTCCGCGAACCCCGTTTCGTCGCCTCGCGGCCCCCCGTTCCGTCGCCAGCGCCCGCGCCAGCCCGGACCGCAGGCGCCGCCGCCAGCGTGGCCCGTCAGCGCGGACGCCACCACCGCGGCCAGCCGCCACCGCCAGCGCCAGCAGCAGCTACCGCCAGCGCCAGCCGCCCGCGCCAGCGCCAGCAGCAGCTACCGCCAGCGCCAGCAGCAGCTACCGCCAGCGCCAGCAGCAGCTACCGCCAGCGCCAGCAGCAGCTACCGCCGCCCTGCCCCCTCCCGCCCGCCCTCCCTTCCACTGCTTCCGTCGTGGGGGGGGGGGGAGGAGGGGGAGATGTGGGGGTGGCGGGTGTGAGGTTGTGAGGAGCCAGCACCTCCTCCCTCCCTTCCCTCTTCCTCTCTCCCTGCAGCACTTGTTGCTGTAGGGGGGGGGGGGGGGGGGGGGCGGGTGTGAGGAGCCTGCCACTCCTCCCTCCCTTCCCTCTTCCTCTCTCCCTGCAGCAACTGTTGCTGTAGGGGGGGGGGGGGGGGAGAGAAGTGCAGAAGGGTGAGGGGGTGGCGGGAGAAGACAGGTGCGGAAGGTGTGAGGTTGACGGGGTTGAGTGACGAGGGGGTGAGGACTAGGGGGTTCTTAACGGGGGGGGATCGCATTGAGCGTGCGCGCTCATGCCCGCCTAGCCCACCTCCTCTCCTCATCGGGACTTGGGGGTTCTTAACGGGGGGGGATCGCTATGAGCTTTCGCGCTCAAGCCCGCCTAGCCCACCTCCTCTCCCTTCCCTCTCTCACCTCCCCTTTGTAAAAGGAGGTTCGTAAGCGGGTCCGCCGGTCCTGGCCCCCCACCTCCTCTCCTCTCCTCTCCTCTCCTCTCCTCTCCTCTTCTCTCCTCTCCTCTCACCTTCCTCACTTCTCTGCCTTCTTCCACAGCGCTTGGTTTGCTCGTTCAGGGGGTGCTGGCTGCACCAGTTTCTACCGCACGCAGGCTAAGGGGGTGTGTCAAACAATATGTTTAATATATACCCTGCGTGCTGTAGGTACTGTAGTTATTATTATTAAGAGTTGGTGGTGCACCTTCTATGTTACTTTGCTATATGTACCTTGTGTGCTATAGTGAAACACCTCTTTCCTTGCCTAAACTCTCTCGTCACTTTCTCCTCTTCACCCTAGCATGGCTCCTCACCTCTAGCTACTATCTTGACAAATTATTACTATTCGTAACAGGGTTATCGGAAGGAAAGTTCCGAGAAACTTCCTTCCGATAAGGTCAAATTCAGAGTCCACAGAACGCGTACTCTACATTGACAGAGTCAGTAAGAACACTACTCTGAGCCTAGATACAATATTTCAGGGTTCGCTAAAGCACTATTCTGAATGGATCAGTGTTCACAAGTCAGAAATTCTGAAATTGCAGGGACCACCAGGTGAGAAGCCTGTAATCACCCTGAAATCAGGGTAATTACCCTGATAAAATCAGCCCTGTCCACAGGGTACCCTCAAACGAATCTGAGGCCCTGGCCTACCGTATGTTTGGATTTTTTACACTGATAATCAGTGTTGCTTTTTTGGAAACCCTGATAATCAGTGTAGGTAATTTAATCTTAAGTGTAACGGCTGATTATAAAAATTATATCATGGGGCTACAGTGTAGGCATTTTTCAAGCACTAACGGCTCATAATTTTCTATGCCTTAAATAGTATTTCTCAGAGAAAACTGCCTTCTACTACTAGGTGTACGGATCTTTCCATATCATGATCGTACTATTCGCTAGCTCTTGCGGCAACATCTCGCTGGTGCCCTTGGGCGGTGTGGGAGGCAGACCGCAACGCCAAGGTTTTGTCCCGATTTTGGAACGCAGGCGGCTCGACATTCCCAGCAGCCCCAAGCCATCGAACCAGCCAAGTAGCAACAGCACCAGACCCAAGCAGTGAGGCAAGCACCTTGGGACCATCTTTCCTGTTAGTCCGCTCTGGGCTTGCCGCGAGCAGCTGGCATGCCATGCCAAGCTGTGCGGCTGGAGTGCGAGCTCGAGCATGAGCGGTGTGTTGCTGACTGTGCGGCAGGAGAAGTCCCAAGGTAAGCCTGCCAGCACACTTTGACCGACGGTGTCCCCCCCTCCCTTTCTCTCGACGCTCCCAGATCAATCTATTGTCACCCAGCAACTATTCCCTATATTGCTTCGCTTCATGAAGCATCAGAGCAAGCTTCCCAGTCAGATGAAGGCTGCATGACAGGGGAAGAAAGTGTTGGCGCGATCGTCTATAGTTCTCGGGCTTTGGGATGGAATTTACCCTCTTTCCCTCCCGTGAATCTTACGGCGTGTCGTTGAAAGTAACGCCTCGTGGAAGGCAAAGAGCTCATCGCCTAGGGGCAAAGCCGCGCGGCTTATACTGGCTGATTCGCCTCAGCAAGCAGATTCGAAAGAGATTCAGAGCGTTGCGCGAAGGCAGGCGGCGGTCGTCTGGGACGTGTCGCCGAGATTCGGAGTTGTCTCAAGAGGAGAGGCGGGCTCTTCTCACAGGATCGTCCTCGTCAGAATCGGCCTCCGCGTCAGCTCATAGCGGATCCGACGGCAACCACGCTCGTGAAGGTCGCTCGAGCAGCATGGCATTCGTATTCAAGGCCACCGGAAGGGATTCTGGCCGACCGCAGACATCCTCTTCCCCGTCTGCCGGCGCGAAGAAACGCCTTTCCCCGCTCGGCAGCCCCGAGCAGCCCCCTGGCGGTGAATCGCCTGTGTCTGCCCAGGCGACGAGGCATCTCCGTTCCGCCGGCGCCACCCCCACGCCCGCGTTCTCCCCTCACATGAAGCGAACTCCGTCCTCGCTGTCGGGCTCGCCGTTAGCGCCCAGGTATGGCGACGGAGCGTCGTCTACTTTGACGGCCGCCGCTGGACGGGCCGGCAATCCGTCAAGCGCAGCAGCACGCCGTGGAGGAGCCACTGGCGGCGGTGATGGCGGCGTCCGCGGCTCCCCGTCGCCGTTCTCGCTGCGTCGACCCGCTCTGAGTGCAAGCGGTAGTGCGGGAGGTAGTCCAGGACGTGATGCTGGTGCTTCCCCCGGTGCTGCTGCTGGTGGTGGTGGTGGTGGTGGCGGCTCGGAGAGGGACGGAAGTGGGACGACGGACAGCAGTGTGGGGAGTGGGATACTCACCGCCGCCGATATCTTGGCATATCGCGCTAGCTCAGCGCGCAAAGGATCGCTGCACGCCGGTCAGAGTCGCTCCGCGCACCGCCAGCGCCACGAAGACCAAAGTGCGCATGAGCACTTGCCTCGACACCGCCAGCAGAAGTCGCTGGACGACTGTGAATCGCTTTCACTCCGTCACGGTTTCCGTCATCATGGGGCGGGGCTAGGCGGGAGTCCTAGCAGCAATCGCGTGGCGCAGCCTTCAAAAGGGGCAGCGGCCGCTAAATCCGCCCACAGGCCCGCTGCCGTGGCGGCGACGACGGATGCCGCGTCGAGTGCTGGTTCGGTGGCTTCTGCCTCATCCGACGTCAGCACCCGAGCCTCTGAGTCAGCCTCGGCCAGTCGTCGTGGCGGCCATGCGAGCCCGCGTGCGAAGCCGATGGACGCTCGTCACAAGTCGTCATCGTCGCTATGGAGGTCGCCATCCGCGTCGTTCCCCTCTCCCCCTGCTGCATCCGCAGGCGCCAAGTCAAGAGGCGAGGCGGGCGCGTCGCCGTTGTCAGCAAAAGCGCCGCAGCAAGCGGCAGCGCGCGCCATGATGCTGCGGCGGTCACGTAGCTTCTCCACGTTCTCGCGCCCCCCTGCTAGCGCTGCGCCTGCTGCGACTGGCTCGTTGTCTGGAGCTAGTTCCGCGGGCGGCAGCAACAGTGATGCCCATTCCGCGTGCGCCTCTGGCGGTAAGCGGAGCGAGAAGGATGGCGGAGGAGGAAGCACGAGCAACAAGCTGCTTCGAAGCCACAGCGTTGAGGGCAGCTGCGACGTGGGCGGCGAGAGTGCGGGCGACAGCAACGCGCTGTTTGCTCGGGCGGGAGGTGCGAGCAGCAAGAACAGCAGAGTCAAGGGGGGGCGTTCGCGCTACAATCATCCTCAATATGCGCAACTGCATCATCTCGACGCGCCGTCGTCGGCTGGCAGTGCAGCCTCGGCGCGCCGAGCGGGAGCGGCGCGGACCGGGGTGGACGCGCAGATGGGGCTGCACGCAGATTGGGGCTCGCTGGCAGAAATTAGGGCCACGGGTGATGCTCCCCGCGCGGATACTCCTGCTGCTGCGTCTGCGCGCACAGCTCGTACCGCTCGTGCGGGTTCTGGTGCGAGTGAGCGCGGCGACTCCACGCTACCCGGAAGCCGCATCGCGCTCTCGAGGTCGCGATCGGGTCTGCGGACGGCGGTGTTTCGGCGGCTGTCGTTCTCGTGCGAGGGCGACGACGAGACCGGCGAGGAATGCCGGCTGGTCGCGGAGAGTCACAGCGATGGGGAGCAGGAAGGGGAAGGGGGGGAGGCGGAGGGCACGGGAGGAGTCAGCGCGAGGACGATCGCCCTTGCTGCTTCGGATTACGATGGGCCTTTTGGGACGGGAAGGGTGAGTGGAAGCGCCGTATCTGTACGCGGTCAAGGTGCAGCGCCACGCACAGCGTGCTGATGACTCGCGCTCATACCGCCTTTCCGTGTTTCTAGCCGCGTTTCGCCTCTCCCAGTGAAGTCTCGTCCTCTTAATTGGCATGCTTCCGCTGTGCGATTACGGACATGATCGCGACTCACGGCCTGTGCTGTGACGCCATGCAGGGGGCACGAGGCGACATGCCGTCGCGCGGGCTGGACCGCCAGTGGAGGGACAAGATCCGAGACGAGGTGAGGCCGCGGGGTAGTGTGAGGTGAGCGGGTCCGCCAATGAAAACCAGGAGCATTCAAGAGGATTTCCCGCGTCTATCGCTGCTGTTATTGCTAGAAGGAAATGCGTAGCGAATCGTCGATTCCATGCGGCGTGTGTGTTGCCGTGCAGCTCGACGCCCTGCGCGCGTTGGTGGAGGAGTCCGCCAGCACTGCGGGCCCCCACCCTGCTGCCACCACCGCTGCTGCTGCCGCCGTTCCCGCACAAGGATCGCTTTGGCAGGCTCGTCAGTCCCTGCGTTTAGATCAGGGTGCTTCTGCGGTAGCAAGCACGGATGGGGACGGTGGTGCGGCGCTTGCGTGGCTGGGGCGTGCGAGGCGCGAATTGGAGAGCATTCTTGGGAGGCGAGGCGGAGGACGTGGCGTGGAGTGCGGTAATGGAGAAGATGCTCAGGTATGTACACACGTTCAAAGTAAAAAATGTTATCTATAACTACTTCGGCTATTAGAATATTTTTTACAATCATAGCAATTTTGAACCAGGAGCTAATGTTTGCTACCTTCTATGATTGATAACAGCTTGCTGGATCACTAAAAGAGCTGAAGCCACAGGAGCGTCGTTGCTTCGCCACCGTGAGCAGCAGCGACACCTCGAACGAAACTTCTGACAACTCCTCTTGTACCAGTGCCAACAGCTCCTTTGGTGGAACCACCGATACTGCAGCAACGGATAATGATACTAACGCCCTTGGTGAAGCGAGGGAGCTGCTGGGCGAATGCTCAGAGGCCGACATAGTCTGTCTCCTTGCATCACAGTCGAATCAGGTATATTTACGGAGTTGCTGTTACCGTACTTCAAACTTATTGCAGCCTCGTGCTGCTGTCGGCTGGTGGAGCTGTGTTTGGCGTGCCACATCGTGTCCACATGCATTTTCAACGTGATGGAATGAAGGGCTGAAGAAGTGCAAATTATGTTACGACTGATTTTGTAATTTCTCATATTAGCACTCCCTTATTTTGTGTCCCTTTGTTTTTTGTTTTTTTGTTTGTTTTTTTTTGGTTTTGTTTTGTTTTGTTTTTTTTGTTTTGTTTTGTTTTTTTTTTGTTTTGTTTTGTTTTGTTTTGTTTTGTTTTGTTTTTGTTTTTGTTTTTTTTTTTGTTTTTTTTGTTATTTTTTTTGTTTTTTTTTCTCCCCTTTTTTTTCCTTTTTTTTTTTTTTTTTTTTTTTTTCTCAAGTGTGCCTCCCTGTGTGTCGTCCTCCATTCAATCAGCCCTTTCCTTCGATTCCCCCACCCTTCAGTTGGTCCGACTGCCAGCCTTCTCCTGGGACGCCCTTGCTGAAGGGCCCTCTGGTGTAGTCCTGGGGAGGCGGGCCATTTGCATGCAGCAGCAGCAGCACAGCCACGCTCTCACGAACTGTCAATATCCCATGCCAGAACAACCGGCTTGGCAGCATCGAGATGTGCAGCAACAGCAGCAGCAGCACAAGTGGAGAAAGCAGTGTGGGGGAATCACTATCCCGGAAAGGCGAGGTGTGGGTCACTGTACCCTCCTAGAAGGTCACTTTCTTGTGGAGTCCGGTCCGGGTGAGGAGAGAGAGGCTGGCATTGAAGTCGTGAGTTCCTGCAGCAGCAGTGCCAGCAGTAGCAGCAGTAGAAGCGACGTGGGTAGTGATGGCCTTTTGCACTCGAGCTTTCCTGTGGACTCTCCTCATAAGTCGTCTGCATACGGCCCAGCAGAGGCAGCCACAGAGGGTGCAGCAGATGAGGGGAAGGAAGGAGTGAGGGAAGCAGCAAAAGGTGCAGCAGGCGGCAGTGAGTCAGTGGAAGTCGCCAGCGTACAGCACGCCACACTCTTCCCTGCCAGGAATGTTCCAACGGACACTGCTCCACATGCCCGAGCACACCTCCCTGCGCTTTTGCCTCCTGCGCTGCCTACCCCAGGGGTGCTGGGGGTGCTGCCATCGGCAGGGGGGTGGCTAGGCCGACCCAGAGGGAAGGCAAGGGGAGCTGGCTGGATTAGTGCGAGGGAAGGGGGAGGAGGAGGGAGTAGAGCTGGGGAGTTGGTTCCTCTTGGGAGGGGGAAGGAGTTGCACTTGGAGAGCCATATGGTGGTGAGTCATTTGCTCATTCGCCTTTGAGTCCTTGGACTCTCAACGTTCTTCTCCCTTACTTCTTGTACGGATTATCCAAGCATGGTTCAATGTTGATTTTTTCGTCTTCTTACCACATAATCTCCTGCCCATACTCACCAAGTGAACCCAGCCTCACCATATACTCTCCTGCCACATATCTTCTTCTCCTCTGTATCCCCTTGTTCCCTCCCTTTGCTTCTGTGACCCACAATGAGCAGCGGTTCTGGGCGCAGGAGAGGGGGTACCTACACATGCTGGGCCTGCCATCATCACACCAAGTGGCTGCTATGGGGCAAGCACAAGGCGCCAGTTTCACCACTGGGGCTCATGAAGATGCTCTTCCGCGTCCCTCCTATTACCGTCATCGTCAGCAGCAGCATAGCATGCCCCCTCGTGCCTCGTCACGCCCTCTTGCCCTCCACCCGTCTGTTGGGACCTCCCTGCTGCACCCAGCACTGCGCCACGCCAGGCTTGCAGGTGGCAGCCGTGTGCAGGCAGAGACAACAGCAGCTGCTGCTGCTTCTGTTGCCGCTGCTGCTGGTGATGATGGTGCTCTGGGGCAGAATGCTGGTGATGGTCTTCCTTCGGCAGCAGCAGCAGCAGCAGCAGCAGAAATCCCTGCTCTGCACGCAACGGTGGTATCACAGGGCGGTTGTCAGCATGCGGGGGAGAGGAAGCGGAACGATGGGGGAAGAGAAGGGGAGTGGGACACGGGGAAATTGTGGGGGGAAGAAAGGGATTGGGGCATGGAGAGCGATGTGCGGGACCTGAAGCTGTACGCTCCCCGTTTCAACCCTCTCTTTGAACCCAATGGCACTTCGTGGGAGAGTGGCGAGAGCAGAAGCTGGCGCCGCACGAGAGATGGTGCCAATGATGTGGGGGAAGGGCCAGAGCAGCAACAGGGGCGAGAGCAGGCACAGCGGCAGGATCAAACACCACAGGGGCAGGGGCAAGGGCAGGGGCGTAGACGTTCAAGCAGAGGGATTGGAGCGCTTGGGAGGAGGAAGCAGAGGGGGAGTGCAGGTCCGTGGAAAGGAAGCAGCACTGGTGGTGACTGCCCGCAAAGCACTGCATTTGGGGTTGGTCATTTGGGCTTGGTTCGAGATGAAGGTTGGGACATCGGCAGCAGCAGTAGAAGCAGCAGCAGCGGCAGCAGCAGCAGCTCTTGCAGCAGCAGGAGAACAAGCACTAGCAGCAACAGTGGACGGAGAAGTGGGAATGTCAAAGGCAGCAGCAGCATGGGTGGTGGTGCATGTGCGAGGAGTGGTACGTGGAGAGCAGTGTGCAGGGGGCGACCAAGGGTTGTGGTGTGCGGGTTGATGCGGAAGCACAAGAAGCCAAGGGACATGCTGGTTGGGGGGAGACGTGGTGCTGTAGAGGGTACAGAGACCAGGGGTGGGCATGTGCAGGTGCGTGAGTGTGGAGGTGTTGTGGGCGGCACATGTGCGAGGACATGTGCTGATGGTGATGCCGCCTGCACTTGCAATGTGGTGGGCACACGAGAGGGTGGGCTGGTTGAGGACTCAAGGAGTGAGGAAGAGAATATGGACGCTGTACAGAGTGCAGAGGGGCCTATGAGGCAGGAGGGCGGGGAGGGAGAGGTGCAGTTCGCAGCGGTCGGTGACAGCATAGCAGGCAGTGGCGGCAGTGCAGGTGAGGGTGATGGCGCTATGGAAGACGAGCCCTCGCAGCAGCAGCAGGTGCAGGAGCAGCTTGGGGTTGAGGGGGAAACGCCTCGTGCAGCACTGGGCAGCAGCGAGGGTGATGGCAGCAGCGAGGGAGGTGTTGACGAAGAGGCGTTGGGGTTGACGCGCAGGGGCAGTGAGGTGGTGGTGCTGGGGAGTGGACAGGAAGGGGATGCGAGGGGTGGAGGATGGAGCAGGCAGGGTGGTAGGAGGGATACGTTGCTTGGTAGCAGGGTGCAGGGAGGGATGGGTCGCGGCAGCGGTCGTGGAAGTGGAGGGAGTTTCGCAAGTGGATACGAGGCCACTGAAATTGTGGTATGCGCCTCCCCTTAGTTGCACTCCTCACAGTCTTCTCCACGGCACCACTGCTGCTTCCAATAATGAGCCGCTAGCGATGAGATGCGTGGTTACTTGTGATTAGCTAGTGATGAATGCTTCAACTCTCCCTGTTCACACCCCCTCATGCTTCTTTCAGATCCCTTTCCTTCCCATCCCCTTATCCTTCCCTCGTTATTTTCTCCTCTCCGATCAACCAACATTCCCTCTCCCTCTTCCCTCCTCCCCGTACTGTGCGCGCAGCTCTTGGCGCATGTGCGGGTGCCCTTGACCGCGCTGCACGTGGTGCTGCTAGTGGCGCGCCCGTCGCTCCTGGCGCGCTGCCTCACAGCACTCGCAGGGATCATCTGGGGGCCCCGACCCTGGCGCTTGGGGGCAGGCGGGGACGGCGGGCCAGGGAGGAGGGGAGGAGTGGTTGAGAGGGGGAGGGCGGATGGGCATGGTGACGGCATGGAGAGGGAGGGAGCGGGTCGCAGGGATCAACTGCTCTTGTCAAACGGTATGTATTCATTCTCTTTCGTCCCTTGCGTACTTTCCAGCCTGCGCCTTCCATCTCTCTTGTACACACCTCGTCCTCAGGGCTCGTTCCACCTCCCAATGGGGCGACTAGCCCTGTTTTACGTGGGGCATGGCGGAGCTGACACTTAGCCGCAAGGGAAACCTTGCTCTCATCGTTCCATGATTCCTGCGCTTTGCCCATCTACTCTGTGTTGGTTTAGGGCCAAGCACGCCAGCAGGTGCAGAGGCGAGTGAGAAAAATAAGCAAGACAACGAGCATGAGAGTGAGGAAGAGGCAGGGGGACACACAAACATGCCCGAGCAAGAGCAGCTGCCTCTCGCTGCAACTCCTCCGCCCATCACACCCATTCCTTCACCACCCATGCCATGCCTCCCTGTACCCGCTGCCTCCACACACACACACCAACCCTGCATGGCTCTCACCCCCATGGCTGGAAACCGCACACTGGCTGTGGGTGGGCCTCCTGTGGCTGATCCTCCCACTCCACCGACTCCACCGCTTGCTCTCCCAACACCCCCATTTTCATTCGCACCGTTGGCAACAGAAGCTGCAGAAGCAGCTACATCAACACCTCGACCATCACAAAACCACCTTGAAATCGAAACTGTGAGCGAGGAGCAGCAGCAGCAGAATGATCAGCAGCCACACCCGATACATCTCCCACGATTCCCTCCCCACTCGCCCCCCCTGCCATCGCACACATGCCATCCTCTGCCCCACTTGCCCATCGTGCTGCCGGCATCAGCATGTGCGGCGCACGGGGGTCTGGCGCAGCAGCTGAGCGTGGTGGCGTGGGAGCGCGTGCTGGCAGCCGTGGCGGATGGCAGGCGCGTGGACGCCGCTCTCTGGATGACCTGCCAGGCGCTCCTTGCTGCTGGCCTCGCTGCTGGCTCCGTGCTGGGCAGGTGCGCATGCAGCAAGGCGAGAGTGGGGTGGGGTGGGGGAGAAAGAGGGGAATGGAAGGCGCATGTAGGCATGGCAGGTGGGAAGGGCAGCTGCTGGTGGACGCACAGAGGATGGAGGAGTGTGGATGTGCCATGCTGGTCCTTTTCATAATCTCTACTTTGTCGGGCCCACTAAAACCCATTATCATTCTTGCATTTTCCTGTTATCTCTCTCCCTCTCCGTCCTTCCTTCCTCGCTGTTTCATTTCCGTTTCCTCCTGTGTCTTATTTCGGCCCTTCCGTTCCCACCAGGTTCTTCCCATCCCAGTGGTAATGCTACAAGTTGTTTGCGGAGAAGCACCTGGGGAGCACGTGGGGAGATTTGATTGCTTCCAAATAGCAATTTTGAATGGCAGAGTAAAGCATTTGGGATGCCAACCAAATTTGCTGGATCTCTTTGTTTTTAACATGTCTTCTGTAAATTGTACCTCAGCTTGTAGGATTGGTAATTGGCCGTTTCATAACAAATAATAATAATAATAATAGTAACAACAATAACAGTAGAAGTAATAGTAACAATAATGATGATGATGGCCGCCGGCGACAATAATAGTGATGGGGGCGGTGGCAGGACCGACGGTGAGGGCGAGGGAGAGGACGAGGGCAACGATGACGACGGTGGTGGTGACGGTGGTGGTGGTGACGGTGGTGGTGGTGACAGTGGTGGTGGTGCTGGTGGTGGTGGTGCTGGTTGTGGTGGTGGTGCTTGTGGTGGTGCTGTTGGTGGTGGTGGTGCTGTTGGTGGCGATGCTGCTGATGGTGGTGCTGCTGGTGGTGGTAGTGCTGCTGGTGGTGGTGGTGCTGCTGCTGGTGGTGGTGCTGCTGGTGGTGGTGGTGGTGCTGTTGGTGGTGGTGTTGCTGGTGGTGGTGCTGCTGCTGGTGCTGCTGCTGCTGCTGCTGGTGGTGGTGCTGCTGCTGGTGCTGCTGGTGCTGCTGCTGGTGCTGGTGCTGGTGCTGCTGCTGGTGCTGCTGGTGCTGGTGGTGGTGGTGGTGCTGGTGGTGGTGCTGGTGGTGGTGCTGGTGGTAGTGCTGTTGCTGGTGCTGGTGCTGGTGCTGGTTGTGCTGCTGGTGGTGCTGCTGGTGGTGGTGCTGCTACTGCTGGTTGTGCTGGTGGTGCTGGTGGTGGTGCTGGTGGTGGTTGTTAACGGGAATGGGTTGTTAGCCCCGCCCTCGCTTGCGCGACGGCCGATTGTTCTACAGGGTTCGACGCGTGCTGGTCGACAGGGTTGTCGACCTGCAGGCGATCGCTGCGATGTCGTTGTCGATGAGAGCAGGTGGTCTAGTTCAACAAGGGAGGACGATAGAGCGGTCCGTCGTCCCGTGTGGGACTTGCGGGCAGCTGTCGAGGACTGGGAGCTCGACCGGCTGCTGCTGACCTTGCTGGTCGACAGATGGGCTGTCGACCAGGGTGGTTCGATGGGCGCGGTGGCCGACGAGGGGTTCGTCGACCAGGGCGCACTGGGTGGTCGACCAGGTCGATCGGGAAACCTGCTCGACGAGTTCTGCGGAGGCACGCGAACGTCGTCGTCTTCGCGATGGCGAAGGCGACTTCGGGCTGGTATCCCAAAGTCGATGTGGCTCGTCAGGCGCAGACAACAGCTGACGGATGCACAACGCTGCGAGTCTGGCTAATCATCTACGCCCACCTGCATACGTGCGCACTGCCGTCTTTTACGGGTGCAACGCTAGACAGCCACTCGGCTGCAGCGTTGGCACGCCGTCGACCTGCTGCGTTGGCAAGCCCCTCGGCTGACCCCTCTGGATCTCGCCGTCTGGACTCTCCTGCGCAGGACATTGACGAGGATGAGGAGGACGACGGGTATATGAGCGATGATTCGGACGAAGGAATCGACGCTCAGGCGAAGGGCTTGCTGGCATCTAAGGTGCGGGTCACGCTGACGCTGCTGATCCCGCATTCGCTCGCTTCGGAAGCTCGCGCGGCGGAGGCGTCAGTTCGCGCGCTTCTGGTGTACCTGAGGAAGAAACTTCTGGTATCAGAGGATGCGTTATCTGCACTCTCGTTCCAGGAACTGCTCCCGACATGGCTGTCGCGGGTCCGTTACAGCCGGCTGCAGGTCACGTTCGCCTCCCTTGCTGACGCGGAGGTGGTTCGCCGTCACCTGGTGGATCATGTGGGTGCGGATGGCTAAGACTCGCTACACGTTCGGCTGGCAGCATCCGATCAACAGCGACTTTCTGAAGGCGAAGGCTGACTTACCGGAGGGAATCGAAGTGCTTCTCAAGGGCGTGCCAGCGGAGATCACGCCGACGATTGTGTATGAGTCGCTGGTGGTCCACAAGCTGCAGAAGCGCGGTCGGTCAGCGTTCCTGTAGGGCGCGGGCTTTCATCGCGTGATTGACCCGGTTACTGGGCTGGGCACGGACAAGATTCGCGGTGTGGTGGTCCCGCATCCCGGTGACACTTACCGCTGGCGTCATCTGGTGGAGCACCCGTTGGCGGACAAGCACTTTCTTGTGCACTTTCCATCGCTGTCGTGTGGCCTCTGCCAGGGACAGCACATGGATAAGTTGCATGATGAGTATGTGACTGAGCGTCAGAACAACATCTCCAAGTGGTCCTTGTCGTTAGGCAGGATCCATATGCTCAACGGTAATGGGGTGGGGGTCTCATCGGCATGGCGGGGTTTGCGCTGCTGGTTTGTCCTTACCTTCCTTTTTACTGACGGAGTGGTGGTGCGTGTGGTCTGCAGCGGCTTCTCTCAAGGCAGCAGGGGTGGTCAGGAAGATTCTTCGAGATCCCGCGTTAGTTCTGATCTCGACTGGGTCTCGAGCGGAGGAGTGGCTGTGTGTCCAGGAGTGGTGCGATCACGCTCACGGGGAGACCTTCGAGCAGGCGGCTGCGCACATCGGCTCGTTTCGCCATGCTTCTGCGGTGGGATCAGCTGGGGTGGCATCCAGGGCGAGCGAAGCAAAGCAGAGTCTGCAGGCGGTGAAGACGGCGTTTGGCATTCGTGCCGACGGGGCAAAGCAGAAGTGATGTGGCATCAGCTGGCGGATGGGGAGGAAGTAGCATGGTTTCAGTTAGGGGATGGTGCAGTCTCTGTAATGTCATGGCGTTTATATATGGTGATTTCATCTGGCAGCAGCAATCTCACCTTCGGCCCGTGGATGCTTTGGGGCCTGTCACTGGTTCCAGATGGGTAAACACACCACCCTCTCATTCAGCGTGTTGAACGTTAACGGACTTAGCTGCTTCAAGAAGCAACAGGACACTCAGGAATGGATGGCGAAGGCTGCACAGATTGTCATACTAGCTGATACTAGGATTAAGGAGGACAATAGCTTCTGGACGCGCGTGCAAGCAGACTCGGTTGTCGCGGTCTCACCTGCTGCTAGAGCGGGGGGGGTGGCGATCATTTCTAGGAGCTCTGAGATCACTCTTACGGATCCAGTCAAGGATGGCTCAGGCCGCCTGGTGCGGGCAACGTTGTCATGGAGGGGAGTGGAAGCAGTGGTCGTGGCGGCCTACTTCCCGTCGAACCCGACAGCGAGGGGCCCGTTTTTCAGGGACGTGCTTCAGCCGTTCGTTGTGGCGATCCCTGGAGGAAGCCACGTGGTGCTTGCGGGTGACCTGAACGTCGTAGAAGATCCATCTTTAGACAAGACGTCGGGTGCGGGATCAAGGGGTGAGAATGACAGACTCATGGCGGTGTGCGGCAGCTTTGACATGAGAGATGCATTTCGGGCGATTCATCCTTGCCTGCGAGAGTATACCTTCTATGCAGCGGCGGTGCAGGAGAGTACGCGGATAGACCGCATCCTGGTCTCGCATTCGATGCTTCACATGGTCCATGAGGTGCGGCACGTGGGATTGACCAAGCGGTTCACGGACCACTGGTCGGCTGTTCACATGAAGCTGAGCGCGGGAACTGATGGGGAGGTCGGCCCAGGCCTCTGGCGGCTCCCGGCATCGCAAGTGTCGCGACCTGGGATGCAGAGGAGAATAACGGCGATAGTGCGGAGGCATGAGGAGAGAGGGGGTGATCTGGAGGCTCTTACGAGCTAGCTGAGGGTCGGGCTTAAGGTGTACACAGTGGAGGAAAGGAAGCGGGTGGCAGCCACGACGGCACACCTGGAGAGGGAAGTGGGAGAGCTGAGGCAAAAGGTGATGAGCAAGCCACGATGCGCGAGAGCGAAGGCGCGGCTGGCGAAATGTGAGGCCAAGTTCAAATATGAGGACGGGAGGCGGCAGAAAATGCAGGAACAGGCAGGCATCAAGGTGGAGATGAGCGGCGAGGCCCCAACTGGTTTCCTGTCCGGGAAAATCAAAGCGAGGAAGGCAAAAACAAGGCTGGAGACGGTGAAATTTCAAGGGAAGCAATACGCGGGGGCGAAGGAAGCTCTCAAAGCGGCATCTGAGTTCTACGCGGACCTGTTCGCGGTGAAGGCGGGGCCGAGAGGTTTGCCGGTGGACTTCAGCATGGACAGATGCTTCTCACCGGAGGATGCAGAGGCGTTACGTGCACCGTGGGGCAAAGAGGAGGTCAAGCGTGCGCTAGCGGAAATGGCGCCTGGCAAAACCCCGGGGAGAGACGGCCTTCCGAAGGAGCTTTGGGAGTCTCAGTGGGACCTCCTGGGCGGGCAGGTGATGAAGTTCCTGAAGGATTTCGAATGGACGGCAGCGCTGCCGGTGGAGTTCTCGACGGCGGTAACGGTGCTCCTACACAAAAAAGGGGACAAGGAGGATCTGCAGAATTACCGGCCGATCACCCTGCTTAGTACGGCATACAAGCTTGTGGCGAAGATTCTGGCGAACAGGGTAAAGCATCTACTGGAAAAGGTGGTGTCGGCGGGGCAGTTTGGATTCCTACCTGGGCGCAGCTTGGCTGGTGCAGTGGCGATTGTGGCAGACGCGATTGACGCGGCCAATGCTGAGGGGAAGGATTGGCTGCTGTTGCTGGTGGACTTCAGGAAGGCTTTCGATTCGGTATCACGAGATTACCTGTTTGACGTGCTGAAAAGAATGGGGTTTCCGGATGAGTACTTGAAATGGGTTGAGGGCCTACACCATGGAGCGGCAACGCGCATCTGCAATGATGGGTGGCTCGAAGACGAGGTCCTGGTCCAGTCTGGGGTAAGGCAGGGTTGCCCCCTTGCGCCCTACCTGTTTCTATGCGCGGTGGAGCCTCTTTGCCAGGAGGCGCAGAGAAGGCAGCTCGGTGTGGACGTAGGTGGGGCAGAGAAGCTGACATACCTGGGTTACACGGATGATACCACCTTTCTGCTGAAAGGGCGAGCACAGCTTGACGCGGCGGGGAAGCTGCTTCAGGACTTCGAACGGATGTCGGGGCTGGCGGCGAACTGTGACAAGACTGTGGTAATGCCTCTGGGGAAGCAGCGAGACGAACAGCCGCCGGCGGCCTCCCCCTTCAAGTGGGCAGCGCGGGACGAGCCAGAGCGCCTGCTGGGGGTGTGGATCACATCAAGTGGGGATGCGAGGCCGTCATGGAGAAGGGCATTGCGGAGGATGGAGACGGAGCTTAAGAAATGGGAAGAGAAATATCTTACTACGACGGCGCGGGTAGCGGTGATCAACGCGTACGTCATGCCCATCGCGCTTTTCCAAGCGCAGGTGTACCCCCCCCCCCGGACGCCATATGGGAGGAACTTCGTCGGCTCTGCCACGCCTTCGCGTTTGGCGGAAGAGCGAGTGCAGGGCCCGGCTTCATCCTGTGGAGCGCTGAACTAATGCAGATGAGGAGGAGTGACGGGGGGCTGGGGGTGATTAACCTTCGCAATCGGCTTGACGCGGAGGCTCTCCACTCGGCGGGCGGGCTCCTGATTGAGGAGTCTCTACTGAGACGGTCCCTGGCGGAGATGGCGGCGCGCCTCCCTCTCGGTTACGCGTCATTCTACGCGCATGAGGCCCTGCTCAAAGCATGGGGAGGCGGGAGCGAGCGTTGGAAGGCGATTGCGGCAGTGGTGTTGGCGTCCCCTATCGCTCGCGACCTGCCATGCAACACCAGATGGGATGTGGAGAAAGAGCGGGTGGTTTTCAACCGGCACATTCTGCGAGGAGAAAGCTGCCCCTTCGGGAGGAGGAAGGAGGACGCGTGCCTACGCGACATCACCGTGGGAGACTTGGTGATGAAGTGGGTGGACGGCACCCGAAGCCCCAAGTCGCCGGAGCAGCTGGCGCGTCTGCTGGGCAGCAAAGAAGCAGCGGCGCTAGCAGCGACGGTTTTTGAAGCAATACCGGATGAGTGGAGGGCGCGGGTCCTGAAAACGCTCGACACGAGCGAAGTTCGCGAAGCAACCAGGGTGGTTCGCACTACAGGCCGCAGGAAGCAGCTGTGGTGGATAACGGAGGTGTGTGGCAGCTTGTTAAGGTGCGCAAGGATGCGGCGGCGGGGCGATGGAGCGTCGTGGTTCGTGCCAGAGGGAGCGAGTACCTGCCTACTATCAGCGTCGGCAGTCACGCCGCTTGCAATGGCGGGGGAGAGAGTGGCTGGGGAGCTGGGAGACCCCCGTGTCAGGCTACTGGGAACAGACCTCTGTGTGGGGGACAGCGTCGCCTCCCTGAGGCAGCTGAGAGAGGAGCTGGAGGTGGAGCAGGTGGGGCAGCATCCCCGCCAAGAGAAATGGGAGAGAAGCTGGGGGAAGCGGATCAACTGGGACAGGACGATTGCGCGCAGGGACTCACATGTGATTCCCGCAAAAGCTCGGGATGTCCTGCTGCGTGCGCACTGTTCCAACTTACAGGTGGGGGACCGCCTGAGATTCCTGGGAGAGCGGGTGAAATGCCCACACTGTGGGGAGGCAGAGACAGTGGATCACGCACTGTTCTCCTGTCGGGTTATTCAGCCGGTGGTGCAGGCGCTGATTGGCGCCATCCGTTGGTTAAACCCGTCCAGGAGGATAAAGTCGCTGGGGGACTTGATGTTTCAGCGGGGGGGCACGTCATCCGGCTTCCTAGAGCTGACGGTGTCAGCAATCACTTTCCACCAATTATGGGTGGCGCGGTGTCATGCAGTTTTCAGGGGCAAGAAGTTTCGGTGCGGAAAGGTGATGCGGAGGATCGTGACTGCTTTCTGCTTGCATGCGCGGACCTACGAGGGCATCAAGAGGAAGAAGGTCTGGGCGAAAAAACGACACGTGGCTAAGAAACACCTGGCGAGAGACGAGATCACGGCATTGGAGAACGTCAGCACGCGGATTGGCAGCAAGCTTATGTGGCGAGATGACTTCATGTCCATCTGGACAGATAGGAGGTTTAGGTTCAAGCCACCGTAGATGGTGTGGGGGTGACTCATGACACCGTTGTGCATCTGTCCCCCCTCTGCAACAGTTACGATTGTGGCTGTATTCGCTGTATCCCTGATATAGTGGAACGCCTTCTATTCAAAAAAAAAAAAAAAAAAAAAAAAAAGCCGCGTTTCTGAAGCGGGCGTAGCGGACACCTTGGAGGCTCGATTGGCTGGTGCGAGGAGAGGTCACGAGGCGGGCGAGTACGGGCCGACCCTCTCCTTGGAGGTGGTTCAGCTGGGTATCCGTGCACAGTGGGCGACGGTACACCCTTTTCGACCTGCTTCTCCTCGACCGGTGCGGAACGAAGGTGGCGTTGACGAGGTGGTCGATAGAGGTGTTTGAGTCGGCGGTAGCGAGGGCACGAAGAAGATTGGGGTGATCACGTTCGTCGACGGTGGCGTCGACGAGATTCAAGCGCGAGTGCAGCGGTCGACAGAAGCCGCAGGCATCTCGCGCGTCGACGTCGACGGTCAACTATAAGCCAACGAGCAGTGGGAGGCCCTCGTTGGCGACGCATGTGACGACAGAAATGATCTCTCCGTCGTACGGTTACTTCAAGTTCTCGCCAGACAAAATCTCTATTACCCCGCTGTTGCAAAGTCGACAGGACCTCATCACGTGGAGGGAGGCTATTGAGCCTCAGTTGGAGATTGTGGGGCTGAAGGGCTTCGCCGAAGGCACTGTGCCGATACTGAACGAGGACGATGCGGGGAGTTTCGCTCGGCTAACTTACCCACCTTCATGGTCATCTCAAGGTGTTGCTTGTCGGTGGTGCAGATAGCATTGAAGCCTTGTCGAGAGCGGCTGGATGCTGGTGCAAAAGTTCATCTTGTCGACGTACCGGGCGACGGACGACCTGTACATCTGACAGCTGGAGGAGCAGATGACACATCTCCAAATGGGCGAGCAGCAGTCGGCGACGGACTACTGCAACCGTGCTCGACGGATCCTCGTTGAGATGCGGATGGCGGGCGTTACCTACTCGACGGTGTCGTACATCACGCACGCCGTCAAGGGACTGCCAAGCAACTACAATCTTATGAAGAGGATGATGGTGGTGGCCCGGCACGCGTGAGTCGCTCGACGAGGACTTCCTTACCAATTACGTCATCCGAGATGAGGCGATGCTGGAGGCAGAGCGGCCCACGGAGCTCCTTTGGTAGGCAAACTTCGCTGTGCCGACGAAGCAGAATTGTCAGCAGGAGTAGCACGGGAAGACGAGCGGAGGTGGTAGCGGATGTGAGCGGTCGATAAAGGGCGTCGATTTGAAGAAGTTGACGCAGGACAAGGATCGTGGAGGTGGTGGTCGACGGCGGGAGTGCTGGATCTGCGGCGACTCCGACAATCTATCTTTCAAGTGCCCCGACCGCGATGACAGCGATGAGGATGACAGCAAGGGAGGCCGCGGTCTGGCGGCCAGCCGTCACCCCCGTCGATATGAGAAGCCGCGCAAGGAGAAGTAGACGTCGAAGAAGACGTCGTTGATGAAGGACGTCGACAACTCCAGTGGCAAAGGCTGATGCGACAGGGAGGCGTCGTGCTCGATGGTCGGCGTGGTGGAGCCGACAGTCTCGCGTGTGCCAGAAGCAAGGGAGGACTTCAAGGCAGTCACCTTCTCTAGTCACGTGTAGATGGTATAGCAATTCCATGCCTATGAGTAAATCATAATCCTCCGAAGGGGTGGCTCTGCATCACACTCAGATCTTGCATTCATCCTTTGCCCCCAGTCGCAGTACTACCTCCATGGGCATTCTGGTGCTGGGCATCCACTGGGGCTCACCACCCTCTGCCGTCATAACTAGGATTCCTCTCTCCGTCAGCCGATTGGGTAGGTCCAGCTCAAGTTTCTGTGCCAAAGTAGGATGTGATGCGCACCGGTGTCGATGATGGCTTGTGCCACCACCACTCCTCCCACCGTGACCCCCCTTTGCTCTATGGTCAGTACACGGCTGACAGACCATCCTCTTTTTAAGGTGCCTCTCCGTCGACATGTCTTGCTCTGGCTTTGCCACATAGCATGGAGAAGAATTCCATCACCACCCCCCATGTGATTCCTGCCCTCTGACTGGTCTCGTTGAGCCTGTGCTCAAGCTCCATACCGTACGACGTATGGGCTTCCCCCGTCACCGTGTTTGGCTCGAGCCCACCTTTCATCTAGCGATACTGAGCATTTCGAATTTGCATTATGTAGTTCTTTAAGAAACTTCCTACGCCTGGGGTTCCTGCGTAGCGTTCAGGCACCTCAATCTTGGGCAACAAAGCATATTGAACAGCTGGGTGGCTGACGTTAGTGCTGCGTTGTTCAGAGAGGGATAGCCTCTTTGTCTATCTAAGCAGTTCGATGCCGGCCATGATGCCTCCTTCGCCTTCTACGTCCAACACGGAGCCGACTGTCGCCCTTACTTCTATGAGACGTTGTTCTGCCGTCCCGCCTCGCGTGCTACATCTTCCGCTCTGTAGGTCATTCATGCTGTGCCTCCGATGCGGCGCCATTTATGATTCTCTCACTGGCCCGCTTCCGGATGCCGGGGCTTGTCCGACAACTCCCGCTCATTCCGCATCTCCCGCTAGCCATCCCGGGGTCGCCATTGCTGGCGCCTTTGGAGGTCGTTCGTAGAGCATCCTGGACCGTAGCTGCATGCACCTACTCTGTTGACGAGTGTGAGATTTCCTTCTTTGCATGTCAGAAAACCTCACTAGCCCATAAATTGCTGACTGATGGCTTCCACCTACTAACTAGCCTGCGTTAGGTATAACAAGACTTTATTAACATACGAAGAAGCCATGAGTTCGAGGCTATCTTGATCTATGTACAACATGGAGATGACTAGCCCTAGCTCTCTGTTGCTGTGCATACAGACAAACAAACATCACTCTCTAGCAAGGTTCAGGGTCAGCAAAGCTATTTACAAACCGCCAGCAGTTTGTGCTTGCATGGGAATTTGCTTGTGCCAAGATACCACATATCAGGTTCGCCCACATACTTGTTTGCACCAGTTGCCAGCTGTCAGAGTTGTTGTTCATGTCCGCGTTTGCAGCTCCTCGCCCTGCCTGTTTTACCTTCCATGCGCACTAAAAAACAAACAAGCAAACCACACTCAAACACTCAAGCACACCCAACATTCTGATGTACAGTGCAGCTTCCCCACCACTTCCCACTCCTCCCCGATGCCTCCACCGCTCGCCTCACCAATGTCGGCCCTGTTGTAAACCCATTTGCGCCAATCGTACATTGACTCCACTTTTGCTCCAGGTTAAGAAATCAGTTTTGTAGCTTTTCCTCCCACACACACCTTCTTATCTTGCTGCAACCACTTGTTGTCTCGACAACTACGTCGACCTCCACAGGATCTTACTGATAATCGGCGTAGATGCGCGACACATGTCAAACTAGGAACGTAAGAATGAATGACTAATGAATGAGCAAACAAGAAAGATATAGGAAACCTAACCCCTAGGACTAACAGAATTGTACACCACCTAGACTAAACATACAAACTATGTGTAAGTTATAGTTTGACACTCAATCACACCTAGGGTCCTTTAAAGTGGTTGAATGCTGCTGCACATGCTGCTGCATCCCCAAGGAATGTTAGATTGTCCGTGTACGCGAAGCACACTACCGCTGGAAATGCTTCAGCGGTTTATATCATCGTAGGATGGATGGCTGCGGTGAACAACAAATGTCCCAAGGGTTCCCCCTACCATACCACTATGTTGCTTAGCAGGGTTGGATGAGAGAATCCAGTGTCCAGACAAAGAATAGTGGGTTGGTCGTAGGATAATATTACGAGCGATAGTATTGGGGCCAGTGACGACCCTCGTATGGCCTCTGCTATGGCAGCTCTACGAATACTACTGAAGGCGTTGGCCAGGTCGGCTTATAGGACGGTGACGTCGGGGTTCACAGTTAGGTAGGTGCAAGTTGTGTGTATGATCGCTTCTGCTCCCCATGGGGCCGCTACACCAAACTGATGTAGTAGGAAGAAAACCCATGCTGCACCTGATGTCAAAGAATGTGCAATATTGGCCGCTAGCCGGATCATGCTTTCACCAGTAGTTATTGGTCGTGTCCCTCCGCCGGGCTTGGTGAGAGCGATGAGGTAGAAGGCCGTGAGAAGGCTAGCGAAATCAAGGTGTATGTTCCTAGACAGAATTGAGTTGACTAGTGCACACAGGTGCTCTCCCACTACATTGTTGACCAGGGTTGCATCACACCCTAACAGGCGTGACAGGCCTGCTCCCACTCCATTTTAGAAGCGCGTTAATGCCTTGAAAATATATGGGAATGTAGCTGAAAGGTGTGCAGGCCTTGGCGAATAGCGTATTGTTGGCTGCAAGCACTTCAAGTGATATTTCACTTCAGGGTATTTCGACATCGTTGCTATGCTGCTCTAGGAGCTCGACAACGGCAAGTAGCCGAGCACAACTAACGACAAGGAAAATGCTTGCCATCATCCATGCGTTTAAGCTGTGGAGCTGCTACTTAACAGGTGCCGAAGTCACTGTGCTATAGTACCTCCGCGTGCAACCCAACCTTAACCCGCGATAAGTCCGATGGCTCGACTACATGGAGTCACATTTTCAAGACCGTATCACCTACAAAAAAGGGGCGAATAACATCGTCGACGCCGTCACCCTCCCAATAGTTCTATCTACTGCAGTACTAATCACCACACTCGAACTCGCTCCTTTCAAGGCTATTCACCCACGGCTACACGACGGACCCGCTTTTTCACGAAGTCACCAGCAAGCGACGACATGGAAAGGGGAATACTACCTAAAAGCCAAAACCGATACTTACTTTCCGTCTGCTCCAAAAGATACACGAATCTGTACGAACAATTTCAGTCAATAAGAATGTAGAAAATCCTGCACCGTAAGTATTATTGACCCGATTCTTCCCCTGGCGTGCAGCACTACATGTCTTCATGCAGACTGTGCCAGGTCATGAAATCGACACGTCAACGACCAGCCAGCTTGTC